TTCCTCCCCCCCTCTCCCTTCCCTCTCTCCCTCTTTCCCTTCCTCCCTCTCTCCCTCTTTCCCTCCCTCCCTCTCTCCCTCTTTCCCTTCCTCCCTCTCCTCCCTCTCCTCCCCCTCCCTCTCTTTCCCTTCCTCCCTCTCTTCCTCTTTCCCTCCCTCCCTCTCTCCCTCTCTCCCTGCCTCCCTCTCTCCTGAACACCCAATATCAATTTAAAAAAAAATCATTCTCCCCCCCCCTCAGGACCCTTTGCCTGCCGGGGCGTGGGAGGGCGTGAGGAACGGCTCCGTCGCCCCGCCCGCGTGTCCGCAGCCGTTCTACCCGTTGAAGACCAGCGAAGACTGCCTGTTTCTCAATGTGTTTACACCTCGGGTAAGTCCTGGTCCTCGGGTGAAAGCTCGCAGGCTGATGCTACAGCTGCTGTTTGTTATTGTAGTTGTTGTTGTTTTCCATCAAAATGTTTCAAAATGTACTGTGATCGTAATGGGTAATGGTGCTTTATATTTGATGAAGGTTTTATTTAGTTTATAGCATACCACGTTACAGGTGTCACCAGCATTACGGTTGATATTAGTTCCAAGCTGTTCATTTATCAGAGTTATACTCCAAGTAGTCACTTTTTCCCGGTTATTTCTATCGAAACCTTAATGTACAGTCCTCTGCATCTTCCTTTCAGTTTCCCAGTTAATATGGACCTTGTTTTGCAGTCTTACAAACTAGACTACCGAACTATGGGGTGGTTTCTCCCCATGGAATATTTGGTATTCATAACGACCTCTTTTACAGGCCTACAAGTCGGACCTCCCGTCATGGTGTGGTTTTTACCCGGAGCTTTTGTGGTGGGTAGCATGGAGATTTACCGACCAGAGTACTTGGTTGCTAAGGACGTGGTGTATGTCACCGTTCAGAGCCGTCTCGGAATCCTGGGTCTGTAGATGTTCTTTCTTTTGTGTACGTTTATTGGGCATTCATTTGTTTTACATTAACATTATTCTTATCTATTCATTTAATCCAATATTTGCTGTAATTGCTATTCTCCATTCTGAAATTTGTAGTCTTCCAAAGCCCTGTTTGTACACACACTACCAGTCAACTTTGTGGCGGTGCAGGAAGATTATAGTGTTACGTAATAAGGCGGCAAGAGGTTTATTTCGTCGAAGTGACTTCATCGGGGGGGGGGGCTATTTCGCGTCACATGGCGTAATCTGCGATCCTTAAAGTCGATGGCTTACATACAGGAACCCTTAAAGTCTTTGGCTTACATACAGGAACCCTTAAAGTCTTTGGCTTACATGCAGGAACCCTTAAAGTCTTTGTGTTACATAAAGGAACCCTTAAAGTCTGTCTTATCTTTTGATACAAGGTTTCTGTTCTGTACCGGTTGGCGCCAGTACGCTATCCATAATCATAACTGCAAAGATGAGAGCCATTTGATGTAGGGACTTATTTGGACTTTATCGGGAGCCACAGAGTAGGAAATGTGGCACTGCAGATGTAGGCTTTTGTTGCGTGTAGCTTTAGGGACGGAGTTCGGTAAAGCGACGAAGATCAGGACTAGCAGGAGTAATGAAAAGATCCTAGACTATAGCAAGAGGAGTGGCGTGAGATGATCAGTCCCTTATCAGTTATAGTGAAATGAGATGATCAGTCCCTTATCAGCTGTCGTGACAGGAGATGATCAGTCCTTTATCAGCTGGAGTGAAGTGGGATTATCAGGACTTGTATTTCGCGACTTTTAACAGCAGCTTGACTGTGCAAGCTTGGAAAGGGTGGGATCTCTAGCCAACAGAGAAAAAAACTTTGATTACGAAAATATTAGTTCGTAGATGTATCGAGTAGCAATTCTAGCGAACCAATCTGTCGTAGGTCTGCATTTTCCCATACCTCTTTTTAGGACCTAAACCTCATCTAGAAGGAATTTTGAAAAAGTCCCGAATTATCGATGCCATTAATTTCAACAGGAAAGTATGCAATCACAAGAGGGATAAGAGGTGATTTTCGAAAGGCATGAGCCAATACCAGAGAGATACACAGAACGGTATACTTGGGACGTTGCAGTGTGCAGATTTGGGGTAAATGAAGACATTCAATAACCGGCAAATATTCTTTTCAGTGCCATTTTGTTGTTGTTTAATAGGCTATATGACAGATCCAGAACAATACAGTATAATCGTAGACATGCGTGTGTGCGTGTTTGTGTGCGTACATACAGTTTATTGGGTAACATTTTTTTATGAATGCCCATATATGGAAGAACTAGACCAATCAGAATCTATTAAATACATCAAATGTACATGTTCATCATCAACAAGTGACGTAGAGGTTACTATGAAATATACTTTACTGTTTTTATATAATCTTTGAAAGCAAGATGCCTCTGCTTTATATATGAGGTATATTCCATATTCAACCAATAGTTTTCATATATGCGTAACACATTTCACACAAAGCCTATACTCCGTATCCTCAACTCACGTATGTTTTAGGCACCGTAACAAGCACTTGGATTCTTTGGTTGAATAAAAAATAAATTGTTTAAATCAAGCTCTAAACATTATTTCTCTCATGACGCGAGTGTGAGTGAAATTCTGTCGATTTGCAAAGTATGCAAATGTGCGAAGAGGAAATTAATGCATCCTTCTCATTCTTTTTGTAATACAAGATACTTTTCTTCTGTAGGATACCTTTCGACTCGGTTTGCAAAAGTATGATAACGTGAGAACATGAAATACGCACACCCTTCTCATTCTTGCTTCAGTAATTCAGGATAATTGCTTCTGTAGGATACCTTTCGACTGAGGACTCTGAGCTCCCGGGCAATCTAGGGCTGAAGGACCAGACATTGGCCCTCAAGTGGGTTCAGGACAACATTCATGCCCTTGGCGGTGACCCAGACAAGGTCACCATCTTTGGACAGAATGCGGGAGGCGCGTCGGTGCACTACCACATTTTGTCTCCAATGTCGAAAGGTAGAATGGAAATTTTATTTTTTACCGAAGAGAGTTACATTAATGTTCTTAGAGATGAATGGTAAAGAAAATGCAACTGCTTCTCTCTTCATTTTCAGTTTATTTCACTGATATCTGGAAAAGCGTGATGAAGCAAGACCACATTTAGCAGTTTTATGAGGAAACTTTCGCATCTGTCTCATTGTAGAAACTACATCGTTGTATTCTATTGACCATTTAATTTTACCTCACTGTCATTTCTTGCCGGCCGTAGGTTTGTTCAAGCGAGCCATCATGCAGTCAGGAACAGCTCTGTGCTCTTGGTCAGTTCGGGAGGACCATAGGTACATGGCAGGTCAGATCGGTAGCATCTTGGACTGTCCTGGAGCGACAGAGAATCCGAATTCTTCAGACCTTGTTGACTGCCTGAAGAAGGTCCCTGCTGATCAGCTGACCGCTGCGCTTCTCAAAATGGTAGGCTTTGATTATGATAAAGTTTTTATTTGAGGTTTTTGTTTTCTCTTCATGTTATTTGATCCCGACCATCTCCCACTGGGGTCTCATTAGGCAAAAGGCGAAGGACTATTTCCTATTCTTGTCTTTGATCAAAACCTAGTGAAGTTCTAATCGTTAGGTGCAAGTTGACAGTAAGATATCTGAAGATTACAGGCATTTTTCTTTTTTTTCATGGAATTTCTTGGTCAGATACTTGATTTGCCTTTGTTACCAATCCAATAATTTTCAAACTGCCTCCAGAGGAAGCTTGCTTGTTTCACGATGTCACAGTGATAGTAATCCCCAAAATGGCTGATAGAAATTACTATTTACAATGAAATTCTGATAATTTTCCTAATTTGTGGACAGCAAATGATATAAACTTCCAAGTTGTGATCATATTTCTGCTGACCAGAAGTATAGATGGAGTATATCAAATATTTTGTAATTTACTAAAGATATATGAACCTGCTTTTGATACTGACTACTCGATAAATTCATCCCCATTCTCAAACCCAGCTGTTGAAGTAAAAGAAAAAAAAAAGTCATAGATCCCTCTTTTATCGCTCATCCACAAGCATGGTCTTTTTCTTTTATTAATGCATTGCAAGAGGTCTCTACCCTCGCTAAACCCAGTTATTAGAGTAAAAAAAAACCTAATCCCTAAATCTTTGCCCAACTCCAAGCCAACCCCCTACGTGATGGGCCCCCGCGTGGACGGAGAGTTCCTCCCGGACCATCCCGCCACGCTGGTCAGGGAAGGCCGCTACAACCGTGTCGACATCATCGCCGGCAAGACACGAGACGAAGGCGCGCTTCAATGTCCGAAGTAAGTGGGTCAGCGTCTTTCATGGTATCTCAGGAACGTTAATTGTTCTAGCCATATGCGATTAGTTACTCCTGTCATATATCTTGGGATAATGTGGCGATTTTGAGTGATATGACCAGTTTAACCTTCAAAATCTTGATTGTTTCATTCTTCCAGCGTTCTTGAAAGACGGCGTAGTGGACGCTATGATAAAGAGCTTCGGCACAATAGGCCCCTATATGATGGGATTAAATGTTTGGGACGACAACATTGACTTCATTGGCCGCCTCATCTTCCACCGTTACATGGGTCCCATTGAGTTTGACATGAGCAAGGTCCACACCCTGGTCAAGGTAAGAAGCCGGGAGACAGGACCATTTTTGCATTGTTCGGTTCGTGAGTTTCATATTAGTTTTCTTCTCAATCAGTGAAAAGTATCTGAGCTGTTTGTGTTTGCATGCAGGATGGTTCTGGGATTAGCAACAGGTGTTCTCTTGGAGAATATTACACTTTCATTTTTTCTTGGTGAAAAAAAAAAATTAAGCAACACCGTCACCTATTTTTTCTGATATGTGGAAAACAGAGGGAGTTAGCAATAGAATAATGAAGGTTGAAGGTGTTTTTTCGAGATCAGTACATAGGCCTAATATCATTCTTGTTCATCCCAAGCTCATTGGTGACTGTTACTTCAATATGTGCACCATGGATGCTATAGAAAACCATGCAAGAGATACTGCCTTTGGCAACGAGT